CAGCTCCACGTCCTCCTGTACCACATCACTCCATCTCTTCGCTAGTCCGTGCCGCGCCCGTTTAGCCCCCTCGATCCGGCCGAACAAAAGCTGTTTCGGTATGCGGTGGCTGGGCATGCGGGCTACATGACCCAGCCAACGCAGCTTTGCCTGCCGGAGGAGCTCACCGATGGGACCTTGCCCAGATCTTTCAAGGATTCGTGAGCTCCTCACACAATCCAGCCTGGTTAAACCCAGGATGGATCGTAGGCAGGCCAGCCTAAATGTTTCCAATCGGCGAAGATGCTCCATTAAAGGGGTCCACGTTTCGCAAGCGTAGAGAAGGGAGGGAATGACCGTGCCCGAGAAGACCTGAAGCTTAGTGCGGAGCGACAGACCAGGTAGCTTCCACACAGTGTTATGCAACCGATGAAAAGATATTGCCGCTCGACTGATTCGGAGTGAGACCTCTGCTGTTAAACTGGAGCCGGTCATAAGTACACTGCCCAGGTATGGGAAACTCTCCACTCTCTCCACAACTGCCCCATCACCAATTGGGAGTTGTGGGGGTGGAGTGTCCGATGGTACAAAATACCCAGGCATGTGCTTAGTTTTGGTGGGGCTGATGGTAAGGCCCCATCTCTTCTTGGCACACTCCAGTCTCAGCAGCAGCGCCTCCAACTCCTCCTCTGAATGAGCAGCTATTACCAAATCATCAGCATACATAACGTGGTTGAGCAATAGGGAGCCATCCCTTGACCGCACCCGGGAATCGATCAGCCTCTCATTATATCTGTACCAAATGGAGATTCCCCCGGTACAGCTATTGAAGGCTTCACGAACTACGTGGTCAAAATAGATGTTAAATAATGTGGGAGCCAGAGGACATCCCTGTCGCACCCCAAGGTGTACAGGGAATGGCTCTTACTGTGCGGTCCCCCTTCTTAAAGAGGGGGACCACCAGGGCATCCTTCCAATCCTGCGGAACCCGTCCAGTGGTCCAGACTGTTGTTATGATGTCATATAGGGCAGTCTGTGCACAAACGCCACCCTCCCTCAGCATTTCGCTTGGGAGATCATCTCTGCCTGCTGCCTTTCCTGGTCTCAGACTCCGGATTGCCTTCAGTACTTCCTCAACAGATGGTACTTCAGCCAGCCACTCACAGGGGGTGACTTCTTCCAATATTTGAGGCACCGCAGCCTCAGCAGGGTCATCCTCACTTAGTACCACGATGTTTTCCTGGCTGAGGGATTTTCCCTCCCCCAGGACCTCACAGAAATGCTCAGCAAATCTGCAAACCTGTTCCTGGGGGTCGGAGATTGGATCACCGTTTTTCCCCTAATGATGCTAATCGGTGTGGCGCTGCAGGTTACTTTTTTTGATGGAGGTAAATAGAGATTTGTGATCGCGGGCCAATGAGGTAGACTCCATCTCCTCAGCAACCCGCGACCACCACCCATCCTTGCAGCGCCTCACGGCTCTCCGAACCTCCGAGCGAAGGCTGCGGTAAGCCTCCTCATTCTCTGACGTGGGATTCTGTAGCCGATGATAGTGGGCTTGTCGCTTTTCCTCAACCATCCTGAACACCTCCTCTGTCAGCCAGGGTCTCTGGGGAGGTCTGGACCACGTACCCAAAGCAGCTATGAGTCACAGTATTAAACCTCGCCCATTTACCCTCGACATCAGGAGGAGTGGGGGACAATGCCAATCCCAGCCGCAAGCGATGATGAAATTCTCGCTTGCAACTTTCATCAGATAACTGAGACCAGGCCACTTTAGGTTGGAATGGGGTCCTGGGTGTACACCCACCACCGGAGTGGAAGAATGGCAGGCGCATCTTACAGATGACTAGTCGATGGTCAGAGGGCAGATCAGCTCCATGGTAGGTCCTGGTGTCAAGGACATGGGCTCGCATCCGCTGGTCCATCACTATGTAGTCCAGCAGATGTTCTTGCTTGGACCCGGCATGCATCCATGATGTTGTGTGGATGCGCCGATGCCGGAACAGCGTGTTGGTAATTACAAGCCCATGGGCTGCACAAAAATCTAGCAGCCTCCTACCGTTGTTATTGAGCTGATCTGGCCCATGCCCTCCAATCACTCCAGACCAGGTGCCAGCATCATGACCAACTCGGGCATTGAAGTCACCCAACATGATGACTCTATCCCGAGGTGCCACTTTAGCCACCACCTGTGACAGGAGGTCATAGAAGGCATCTGACTCATCGGTTTTGCCTGCATCCCTCCACGGATGTTCGTCTTCAGTGGGGGCATAAGTAACCACGACCACCACTCCTCGCCTCAGGTTTATGGGAAGGCGAGCCCAAAGTAGCCTGGGGCTTACAGCTTCCCACACCTCACCGCCACGCTCCCACTCCCCCTTCATTCTTTTGTTCAAAAGAAGAGCCACACCCTGTTTGCTTGGCAGTCTGCTGCCCTGAGTAGAGGACTGTCCACCCCTCATGGTGGCAGAAGCCAAAACCGGTCCACCGGACCTCCTGAATACCACAGAGATCCAGGCGGTACCAGTCCAGCTCCCGATAGAGGAGTGGCAGCCTCTCATCCGCAGTGAGTGTTCGAACATTCCATGTGGCCATCCGTAGTGGCTTTTCGTTGTTTCTGGAGGAGCCCCAAGGGTAGAGATTCAATCTCCTGGCTCCGCCAATTGGGGTTTGGCCAGGAGACGTCATAGACGCCTGTCCCTCCGGGGCCTCTGGCACAAGCTTATTAGTTACACATTTCAGTTTAACTCGTGGTTTAGTGGTAATTAATTGAAGGTGGAGGGGTTACCAGCCCCTCGCACCCGTCCAGAGCCCCCGTTTAGCCACTGTGGTGGACATAGACGCCATGAGGGGAGGAGCCAATTAGAAATGGCCCTCCCCCCACAGCACTGTCCACGACAGAGTTGCCCGTCCGGCACCACGAGGAGGTAGGGGGTTGTTTTGCCGGACACTGACACACACACACTGACACACTGACACACACACACTGACACACAACAACGACAACAACCGCCATTCGCCACTAAGTGGCGGTGACGTCACCACGACGCTTGTGCCAGGCCATGTGCACCTTGAGGCCACACACACACTGACACACACAGACACACACACTGACACGCACACACACACTGACACACACTGACATACACACTGACACACACTGACACACACACAGACACACACACTGACAACAACAACCGCCATTCGCCACTAAGTGGCGGTGACGTCACCACAACGCTTGTGCCAGGCCATGTGCACCTTGAGGCCACGTAAAGTGTCGAACGCCCGTGGGCAGGAGGTCACGGGGCAGACCCAAGTGCCACGGGTCGACTGACTAAGATGACTGAGATGACTGGCTGATGCACCACCTGTGCCCCCTACTGTGCCAACCTGCTGTGCTTTAGCCACCCGGCGCTTCGCTCGTTGTTGTGAGCGTCGTTCCTCCGTCCTCCGTTGTTGTTGGAGGGCAACTGCCTCCAACTGCCCAGTAGCGTCCTTCACGAGCCTCCTCCACAGAGGCCGATCTTGACACCGCTGGTACCAGTCATCGGCAAGTCCACTCAGCTCCACGTCCTCCTGTACCACATCACTCCATCTCTTCTCTAGCCCGTGCCGCGCCCGTTTAGCCCCCTCGATCCGGCCGAACAAAAGCTGTTTCGGCATGCGGTGGTTGGGCATGCGGGCTACATGACCCAGCCAACGCAGCCTTGCCTACCAGAGGAGCTCACCGATGGGACCTTGCCCAGATCTTTCAAAGATTTGTGAGCTCCTCACACCATCCAGCCTGGTTAAACCCAGGATGGATCGTAGGCAGGCTAGCCTAAATGTTTCTAACCGGCGAAGATGTTACATTAGGGGGGTCCACGTTTCACAAGCGTAGAGAAGGGAGGGAATGACCGTGGCCGAGAAGACCTGAAGCTTAGTGCGGAGTGACAGACCAGGTAGCTTCCACACAGCGTTACGCAACCGATGAAAAGATATTGCCGCTCGACTGATTCGGAGTGAGACCTCTGCTGTTAAACTGGAACCGGTCATAAGCACACTGCCCAGGTATGGGAAACTCTCCACTCTCTCCCCAACCGATTTTTGTCCGGCAAAACAACCCCCTAGCTCCTCGCGGTGCCGGACGGGCAACTCTGTGTCCACCATAGTGGCTAAACGGGGGCTCTGGACGGGTGCGAGGGGCTGGTAACCCCTCCACCTTCAATTAATTACAACTAAACTACGACTGAAACACGCTGACACACACACACTGACACACACAGACACACACGCACTGACACACACAGACAAACACTGACACACTGACACACACACTGACTGACACACAGACACACACACTGACAGACACACACACAGACACACACACTGACAAAAAAAGATCCCCCATATAGCCTTAACAGACTGTAGGGGCAAGTGCTGTTAGCGAGCACCTATGAAGGCCGGAACGGTACACGAGGGGGTGGGTGGCCAGCACCACGCCCGGCCGCCTTTGCCTCCCTAGTGGCGATGGCTACTACACACCGCACCAGGTACTCATTTGAGGCTGAGTCGACCTATGGGAGGCCCAGTACCGGTTTAAAAAATCGCACTCGTATCTGTCGTGAGCGAGCAGGAATCAAACTCGGGTCGCCAGGTTGGTAAGTAACGGCACTCGAACCACTCCGGCCACACGACAACACGACACAACAACACACAACAACACAACACGACACAACACAACAACACGACAAACAACACGACACACAACAACACAACACGACACACAACAACACGACACAACAACACCACGACACACAACACGACAACACCACACCACAACAACACAACAACACGACAACACAACAACACGACAACACAGAACCCGTGCGAACATTGATGCGCCCACATGCGCGTCGAACATTACAATCGACGCCCTCTGTACGGGACGTTCGCGTGTAGCGGGGTTCACGCACAGCGCAGCAACCACGCACACACACACACAGAGAGGAAGAGAGAGAGAGAGGAGAGAGACTCACCTGAGAGAAGCCGGGAGTAGGGAGCAGACACAGCACAGCCTGGAAGAGAGCGGCGAGCCGAGGGTCCATGCCTCTCTCTCTCTCTGTGTGTTGTGGTCTTTGCTGAAGTCAAGGTTCGACTTGAATGCGAGACGCTCCGGAGAGGAGGAAAATGAATGCGGCTCAGGGGGTTCTCGGTTGGTGATGACTGCTGTTATTTAACTTGCATGGTGCGCGTGTGTGCGTGGGTTGTAGCGTGCATGTGTTAACAGTGAGGTGTGGGTGGTGAGTGTACGAGTGTGGGTGGTGAGTGTATGAGTGTGTGTCTGTGGTGAGTGTGTGTGTAGTGAGTGTATCAGTGTGGGTGGTGTGTGTGGTGAGTGTGTGTGTGTAGTGAGTGTATCAGTGTGGGTGGTGTGTGTGTGTGTAGTGAGTGTATCAGTGTGGGTGGTGTGTGTGATGAGTGTGTGTGTGTGGTGAGTGTGTGTGTAGTGAGTGTATTAGTGTGTGTGTGGTGAGTGTGTGTGTAGTGAGTGTATACGTTGCTGTATTGTGATGTTTTTAAGAACCCTGGTTAGTTCCCACTGCCGTGTGTTGTGGTGTGCGTGAATGAGTTATGTACATTACATGCTTTGGAAATCGGACACAAATATAATATTGGGATAAAAAAAGAACACTTACATACAGAAACAAAAACGCACATACATATGGCTAAGTGAGCCTATTCTGCAAAAAGTAAATGTTAAAAAAACCTTTCAAAGACGAACAGAATCTGATGGAAACCATAAGATTACGAATTCATTATATATCGTAACTGAAACATGCCATCAGAACTGTGAGCATCGTCTTTCTCTCTCTCCCTTCAACAAAATCACACACACGTAGAGAACATCACAGACATCGCACGTGGAAGATATCGTTGCGTTAACGACGACACAATAAAATAGACGGCACCAGATGTCTCAAAGCAGAGATTGTGATAGACACACGGGCGGTGTCATAGATGAAAGCGACGATAGTGTGTGTGTGAGAGAGAAGAGGTATACGATGATGGTTCGAATGAATGTGAGAGGCGAGGCTAAGCCGAGCGCGTTCTAGGAGCTGGTTTCTTGGGTGCTGCACGCAGACAGACCGTGGTGGAAGGCAGTCTGTGTCTCCACCGAGGCTTAATACGATTGCTTGCGGCACAGCGAGAGAGAGAGGGTGAGAGAGAGAGAGGGGAGGGAGGGAGCGAGAGAGGGGGAGAGCGAGCAACACAATTTGTGTGCATGCCCTGTGATGTGAAAACTCTTTTATCTTACCACCGGAATCGAGAAGTTCTTGATTTCGGTGCCACCCGCACGTACGCGTCAACTCCCTACGAATATAATCGTGGCCTCGCCTGGTAAATATTAATAATACATCTAAAAAATAAAATATCTGAAATTAATTATTCGTTGTTGTTTAAAAAAAAACCGCATCGAAAGTTATTTAATGTCAACTGTTCAACGTTTCAATCGGGTCCCCTTTAGCCGAACGCAAGACGAGCTTTTACATTTCAATTGAGTGTGATCTCAAATATTTCTCAGAACTATGAAACGCGTAACATATTTTATTTGGGAGAGAGGGGAAGCAAACAATGGTTATACTCAGGGCAGACTTGGTCCCCAACGTAAGAAAGGTGGATTTTCCATCACTGGTTGGCTGAACATCGACAACAAAGAGGAGCAACCACTCCTATGATTTGTTTTCATGCGCACAGGGAGGAAGACACTGCGATTTTGACTTTGAGGAAAGGTGAATAGGGAATATTTCAGTTCACCGTGGACGAATCGCATCGACCCTGGTGGCACCACTTCGACTTTAAGTTCGAATTCTGAGCCTTCATGCGTTTCTGTTTCAAATAGTTCACCATGACCTCCACGAGACATTGGAGTGAGTCCTGGTTTTCGAGTGTGCATTCTCAGCCGCTCATAATGAAAGGCGGGTTCCCTGGTGTAGAGAGAGAGAGAGGGGGGCGATTGTCCCAGCCGGGATCATCAATGACCGCAGGATGAAAGCATCTCGCATTAAACAAGTGGTCAATCTTGCGTCAGTCAAGCCAAGCTGGAAGCATTGAACTCAACTGCTTTGACTGACACGGCATATTATATTAATTTATTTGCGTGGCCACGTGACGCAGTGGGTAACACAACTCGTGCCGCACAGCAAGAAGCCCCTGGGTTCGATTCCTGGCGTGGTGCCCCTTGTCTGCGTGGGGTCTGTATGTTCTCCCGCTGTTCAGCATTGGGTTTCCTCCACATTCGCCGTTTGCTTCTCGTAACTTACAACAACAAAAAACCCAATGGAATTGACCAAACATCTGAATTCCGGAAAATGTCCCGCAAATTACTCAATTGGCATCACGCACGGAGATCAGCATCCCTGCATAAACTTGGCAGGACCCTCTTGGAAAATACAATTGAGACTCACTGAGGCCTTCCTCGGTAAACAAGCTTGGCAATAAGTCAGAGACGACATCTTGTTGTGGGTGAGAGTGGCCTCCTGCTGTGAGACCCCGGGTTCAAGCCCGGGGCCCTTATAAATGTCGCATATATGCCCTGAGTTTGAAACCAGGTTAGGGCTTACGGTCATCACTTTAGCGTCTTTGACGGTCTCCGCCTGGTCACCGACGACTACACGAAATTATTGCATTTCATTCATCATTGTCCAGTGGCGAGGACTACATTTGATGACGATCTCAGCCGACGGGCTCGCTGTGACTCATTGCTTACGCAGCGCGAAGCAGCGCCCTCCAGCGTTGGATGAGCCCTAAACTGAAGTGACTCGTAAGTGGTTCTGGGACATCATCTTCTGGGGGGTGAGGGGAGTCGTTCCCTGACACTAACGCGAAGCTCTGCTACCTGGAAGGAGCTCGTTTCGGAGCGGGCGTCTGGACATGACTCGAATAGCCCACACGACCGCGGTGGGGGGGGGGGGGGGGATAGCGTGCCGAAATAGAATGTCCAAATATAAAATGTAAAAAGAAAAATTCGAAACAAGCTCGCAGCCTCCGTGGGCTGGAGAAATGAGCTGACAATTCGTGCTGAAGCAGAAAAATCCCTTGACCGCACGGTTAATTTCTCCCCCCTTCTCCTCCCTGCTCTCTGCTCCTTATGCATTTACAAATTAAAACGTCCTGGAAATGTGGCCAGCTTTTAATGAGATTGTAAGCCCGCTCGCAGAGACCACGGCGCAGGAATAACTTGGGCCTGGCAAATGGCATTACACCACCGTGGTGCATAATGACACGTGCGGACGCCTGCTGGATTGAGATATCGGCTTTCCGGAATGAGGGTTAGGGAACGCACTGCAATGGTAGCATTGTTTGAAATAAAGACATCCTTTTATTTGTGCTGTTTATAAGGGAATTCGATGCCAGAATTAGTTAACGCAGACTTGGAACAACAACAACAACAAATCGGTACATCAATTGAGACAACAAGCTTCTGAACCAGGGAGACTGGCGAACACTTTCACCAGGTGTCGCAGTGAAGCGGCGAGACACCTCGGTGAGAAGCACCACGTGGGTTCGACTCCGCACTCTGGTGGCATTTGCGTGCGGAGTTTGTTCTGCGCCTGTTCCGCACTTCATCGGGATTCTTCCCATGGCGAGTAAGAAACCACAGGATGATGTAACTGGTGTTGGCCAAATAATCCCGCCACCCCCACGTTCAAAAAAATTGTACCAGTCCGCTACTCAACTGTGAGTACACGCAGCAGAAACATCGACCCTTAGGTAGTACCCTGCTGAAAAAAAAAGCGTCCTCAAATTCAGTGAGGCTTTCACGGGTAAAGAAATACAATTATTATAATATTACATTGTAGATGTGCTGTTTGCCAGCGCTTACTATGTCTGCCACAGCACACGGAGGAGAGCTGTTGCTCAACCTTGCCTGGCCATCTTCCCCCGAGTGCTGAGATATATTTGCATCGCAACCAGGTAGTCATTTAAGGCTGAGTCAACCTAGGGGGAGGCCCAGAACCAGTTCAGATTATTCGTCACCAATGTGAGTGGGGATTGAACTCGGGTCACCGAGTTCATCGTGCAGTGCGCTGATCACTATACTACCGCTCCCCACAACAAACATATATACACGACAAAGACAAGACAAAGATCCCCCGTGTAGCCTTAACAGGCTTGTGGGGCAAGTGATGGTAGCGTGTATGAAGGCCGGCACGATACACGAGGGGGTGGGTGGCCAGCATCACGCCCGACCGCTTTTGTCTCCCCAGTGGCGATGCTTACAGACTGCACCAGGCACTCATTTGAGGCTGAGTCGACCTAGGGGAGGCCCGGGACCGGTTCAGATAATCGTCGCTGGTGTTGGCCGTGAGCGGGAATCGAACTCGGGTCACTGGGTTCAGACGAGTGCACTCTTTACGGTAGTACAACTCTCCACACATAATTACACACGGGACATTCTGCACAGTGTAACATTTTGTCTTACCATTACTGCAACCTATAATTAAACTCCTGTAATTAAAGAGTCATACTAAAAAAAAACACGGTACACACATTCACTTTGATGGTTTAACGAGTCAAGATGCTTCCTAAGTGATCAATTGGAAAGCCCCTGTCGTTAGGGTCAAATGCAGGCCAGAGCAATTACAATCATCTTATTTTTTTTTATTTAAAGCTTTCGTGACTGCAGTGATTCATATTCTTGGTTCTTCCGGTAAAGTCACGTTGAAGGGAAACAATACAATAATATATATAAAACAATAAAATCTCACGACGTTTCGACTGCAACACAAGCAGTCGAAGCTTGAGTTTTGTGTGTGTGTGTATATATATGCAGCGTCGTCATCCCATGCAAATTGCATCTCACAATCGCAGAGGAACCACAGATGAGCTGAAAGGCAGCAGCCGAGCTCTGAGTCGGCGCTACCAACAGTCGCCCGAGTTCTGCAGACCTCTATATATGAATATGTGTTCAGCCAATGAATGAGTGTTCATACACGTGGGAGGAAACCGGAGCACCCGGCGAACCCGCACAGGTGTTGCGAGGGGGGAAACACTCTATCCCACACAGAGGGGACAGATACGGCAATACCCCGGTTTACATCGGGGATGCGTTCCTGAAAGGTGCGACGACGTATATCGAAACGACGTGAATCAGAGCGATGTACAAGGTACGGTGGCGGAGGCGAAGGCTGAGAGGCGACGGATAACGAGGACGGACGATGCTGTCAGCGACGTGAGCGTGGTGTTGAGGCGACGCAAATCAGCGGCGGTGTTCATAACCAAGTGACGACGCATTTGCGAAACGACGAGTCGTGAATCGGGGCGTCACTGCTGAAGCACCGCCTCCTCCTCGGCACCCACGTGATC